CTGTCTTTTCTAAAAATAAGACAGAATAAGACGAAAAGAAATAGTCTGGTAGGCAAAAATCAATTTTAGCACACTGATAAAAAAGTAAAGTTACAAAATTGCTGAGAAAAAAAAAACGATAACAATAAAAGTTACTGGATGAGACGGACTTGCTGAAATTGACATTTGATCAGCTGCTTAATAATACTGAAGCCAGTTGACAATGATAATCTTTAACAAAATTATGACTGATAAAATGAATACAGCGGTTCAGATTCGCATTTATCTCTGACTGCTTGATGGACTCTATTTCAGCATCACAATTTCAGCTGCAACAGTTCAGCAGACTTGTGGCAGCTAACTGACGTATGTTTTAAAAAACTGATGTATAAACGATTGAAAAAAAAAAATGAAATAAAAAGTTTTTGCAACTGTTATGATAAACAAGCGCTTCATTAGAAAGCAAAAAACCTCTTGAAATTTGGTTATTATTACACCACAAAGCATTTTTCTTTGCTCTTCTGCTTTCTTCTTTAGTCAAGGTAAAAAAACAACTGAGTAAAAACAGAAAATTGAAAATGAACAATAAGTGAAGAAAAATAAACACATCAAAACATCAATAATTTTACTTGGAATTATCCTTAACAGTTGTTTTACCACTTGGCATCTGAAACTTTCAATTTCTGCTGCATAATTTTTTTTTTTTGATTTACAAAAAAAAGTTTTCGTTACGATGCTTGCATTTTTATGTTTAACTACAATAAGTTCCATATTAAGTCAGGATTAGATTAAGATTTTTTGCACTTCACCTAAATTTTAAGGTCATTTTCAAACATTTTTTTTAAACGAAGCCGTAGTATACGTATACTATGCTAACACTTTGAATCTTTATGATACTAAGTGTTCAGTTAGTTTTTATTTATTGTCTAAACTGAAAATCGGCATTCATTTTACAGCAGTGCAAACTAAACTTTCTGCTGCAACAACATTCATGTGAATGGCAGCAAATGTATTTCAGTTCACTGTTATTAACTTTTCTTAGACTTTGCTCAGTTTCTGTTTTTAACAACCGCTACAAATTTGATATACCATAAAGCAGAATTGCTCTTTGAACTGAGCATATTTATTGATGTACTCCTAAAGCTACAGAAAGTGTATTATAGGTTGTATAAAACAGACTAGAACAAATAATTTTTTTACAAATTGCATTGAAAAGCTACAACACTGGTGCTGGTATGACAGTAAATTACAAAAGCAGGTACTTATTATAAAGAAGGAAAAAAGTTTAATAGATTTGTCGACAGCCCTAGAAACCTGTCAAATTTTTAGAACTGCCGGCAAGTCTACAAGACATCGTTTCTCCTCTGTATGTCAGCAATTATTTTTTTCACCGATAACGTCGCCTGTTTTTGATAAATTTTGCAAGAAAATTATTCAGATATATGTATTCTGATTATATTTCTAAGACAAAAATTCTAAAACGTTATATGTAGTGGTTAGAACAATTTATATGTTAAAGAACTTACGCCGTAGCACTATGCAATTTAGATGTTTTATGCTTCAAACACCTTAGCAACTGTGAGTTGGTTGAATTCTAATCCTATAACAAGGCTTCAAAATGTAGAGCTATTAGGAACTAACAAGTTAAATAATTCAAGCAGTTTAAACCTTAACTGTTATAAAAAAAAAACGAAGAATTACCAAAAAATTATGCTTAACGTTTATCATTACATTTATTACAGGTCATCAAGTTTATTAACTGAAAAAGATTAGACCACAAAACCAAAAAGTTTTTTACTTGTGTTGTGCAATTTTAAGCAATATTTTATATCAGAATGTCACCCTCAACTTTATTTTTGTCGACTCTTTTTAGTCTTTTTAATTTAAATTAGTTTATAAGCTCAGTTATAATGATTATCTAAAATAGCTTTTTGACAGACTGAGCGTCTATGTCAGACTGTATTTGTCAATCTATCAAGTACTCATTATCTTTCCTGCAATATCGCTCTTCTCACTAAAGTTTATCGTATGTCTCAGAAGTTGTGCTAGTGTTATACAAAAACAAGGCGTGTTAAATTGCTCTTGAATCTAGATTGTCTAGAAGACAAAAAAAAAAACTTGCAGTGCTATATAGCAACGACGATTCAGGACCAATTTTTTCTGCAATCTGGCAATACATTTTAGTGTTTGTTCTACTTGACAGTTGAAAAAAAAAA